ATGGATAATTTTTGTTTCCAAATATTTTCCTCTTCCATTCTTGGTATCTAAAATGTGTAGTTTTTCTGACTTAGTTTCTATTTTTTTTTGGAAAGTTAGTGTGTTTTGGATTAAATCAAATATGAACATTTTAATCCATAATATTTTACAAAAATTAGTTAAAAAAACCTGATTCTTTAAATTGAAATTTTTATATTTTTGGAATTTTAAGTTTAATTTTCATTAATTATTATTTTAAGTTATGACATCTATCTCCGTAGCAAGGAAGACATAACCATCATTCATGCTTAAAGGTATGTTTGGATAAGATCCTAACTGAGGTTTGGAAATTCAAATCTTAGTTTGGTTATTTTTAAAACTCATTCATGCTTTGTTTGCTATCTTCCTATCTACAAGTCGGACCAAACCACCATTCTCTCCTTACAAGTTATTTCTCTTGCTCGTTCATCTTTACTTTCTCACGTATACTCTGTGTGTGTGTGTGTGTGTGGGGGTGTGGAAATGACTTAAAAAAATGGAGAGGTAACAAAATGGATATTTTTTGTTTCCAAATATTTTCCCCTCCCATCTCTTTAATGTCTAGTTTTTCTGACTTAGTTACCAATTTTTTTGAAAGTTAGTGTGTTTGTGATTAAATTAAATATGAGCATTTTACTCCACAATATTGTTCAAAAATTGGTTAAGAAAACTTGATTCTCTCAATTGAAATTTTCCTTTTAAACTTTGGAATTTTAAAAGCCATTAAATGGTGACATGTTAGGAATGAATGGGAATACAGAGCAAGGATGAAGGCACAAGTGAGGAAAAGCAAAGTTGAAATGAAGAGCGTTTGATTCAATTAGTTAAAAGTATTGAATTAACTTATTTTAAAAACTCAAATTTAAATCTTGAAATATATAATCATATTAAATGAAAATATCACAAATATTTTCAAAATACCTATGAGATGATTGTCGATAATAGTGATCTCATATAATGGGAGTTCAAATTAATCTAAACAGGTAATGCTAATACTCCAAATTTCTCATGAAATAAAAAAAAAAAAAAAAGAGCAAGGATGGGGGAGAGAGAGAGAGAGCATACTTGACGGTTGCAGGGGAAATATTTTAATTTGATGTAGTTTTTTGGCCAACATTTTGATTTTGATGTTGAGTAAACACCATTTGAGCAAATATATTTAAGTTTGAAAAGTGAGCACGATTTGAGTGAAAAGTAATCCAAACTTGGGGAAAAAACAGGTTCAACCAGTTTTTGATTTTGGAACCTAGATTTTGGTCATTTAAGCACTCAACCAACCATATAACGCAATCTTATTAAAATCCATCTTGTTTGTAACATTTTAGTGAATAAATAAAAGCCCACCAGATCTTGTTATGATAATATTAGGGTTATTAAAAAAATAATTTTTTTTTTTGGTTGTTGGGATGACCATTTACATGACACATTGAACATGCCGTCAAGATAAGAAATATGGGTAACTACGATCGATTGAACATACCGACAAAAAGTTTTTTCACAAAAATTCTAGCATTTAAATTATCATTTAAAACTTGATGTATAAGTGAATTAACGCATTTATTTAATTTGCCTTTTTGAAAATATGATTCAATGTGATTATTCAGACTCTTATAGTAAATTTTTTGATTTTTTTTGATAATTTTAATGAGAGTTTGGTTATTAGAGAATTAATGTTGGATAAGCATCAAGGTTTTAGAGGAGTCAAAATAAATGTAAATTTTATTAAACTTGTCATTCTAGATTTTGATTTTTTCAAAAATATCCATTAGTTCAACAATGATGTAATGGTTGATGGGGGTAGGGACAGAGAAGGTATTTTAAAAAGTTCTTGATCAAATTACCTTGGTCATCCTAGATGAGGTCATCATAGATAATAGAGTCGGTAATTCAGGTGAGACGGACTTATTTAGGTTAGGTTTACTTCGGGTTGAGTTTATTTAGATTGAATTTAAAGTATCATGTCATTTTTAAATAGCCCATATAATGCCTTATCTCAATTCCTTTGGCCTTATTCGCTCACATTCGAATATTCTAAATTTTTTAAAAATATTTGTAAATTAATTTTAATTTTTAAATAATTTTGTTAAGCATAAAATATTATATTAATTTTAAAAGAATAAAATAAAAAATAATAATTTATTAACTTTGTATTTAAATAACTCTATTACTATTTCTTTATATTATGTATAATTTATTCATGTATATTTTTTATTTATAAATTAATGTTTTAGTTTTTTAAATATGATTTTTATCATGATTACATATAAATATTTTATATATTTTAATTAAATTATATTACTTTAATTATGATTAAATTGATCTCAATTCAACAATAATTATATTATTAATTTAAAATTATTGTGTTTTTAATAACTTTTGAATAAATTATATTTTTATTTTTAAAAATATAAAAAAATAGTCATTATTATATTATAGAAGAATTATTTAATTATGGGGAAAAATTATTTTTTTGAAATTTTCTTTTTCCTTTAACTTTTTTTCAATGTAAGGAAATTTTTACTCTAATTTATATTTAATTTTTAACTAATTTTAGTGTGAATGATAATTAAATAATTACCTAAAAATATTATTCTATTTATTATGTTTATTTAATAGTAGAATTGAGAATTCGTAGATGCATAAATTTTATTTTTGCTTTAAACTTAATACTTTTATCAAAAAATATATTTTTTGGTACACAAATGATGTATGAGACCCAATTTTTTTTTTAAAAATTGAGCTTTAAAATAAAAAAATCAATATTAGAATATATTTTAAATTTTATTGAGATATTTTATTGATTACAAATAATCAAAATTTGAAAATATAAATATTTTTAATTTTTTTAAAAAATTAATTATAACAATGATGTCAAATATATAGTATTTGAGTATAAAATGATATAAAATTTAAAGAAATCATTAATCTTTATTATATTGTATATATATTGTAGAAAATTTATTTTTTTATTTGGATACTTGGGTCAATTTTTAACCTGATTGGGATTGACATATAACAGCAAATATTGTACATAAAAGAAAATTTATTTTTTTTGAAAAATATATATTTAATAAGAGTAAATTAAAATTATTTTCTAAAAAAATATTAATATTTTTATCATCTCAACTTAATTTTTATGAAATAATTAAACGTGACACATAAAATTAAAGAAATATTAGTCGAAGTCTGAATTTTTTTATTTATTTTTTTTAAAAATGAAAAAAAGATGGGAACTTAGATTATAACAATTAAAATCACAATGAATAAAAAAAAAAAAAGATTTCAATGCATGTCTCTTTTTCACTGTTCTTCCGTCACATCTCTCACTGTGACAAGTCAGAAAGTTACGCATTTCCATGTGAGGAATTGTTTTGTTCATTGCACTACCAGAAACCGGCGACAATTTTACGATCTTCCTTCAAAATTAGATGCTTGAGAGCCTTGAAGCCTTCCCTCCTCCGCTGTAGCCTCAAGACCAGAGGGACGTTACAACTAGCAGTCTCCTAAAAAGGTCTTTTATATTTCTCTTTGATCCTTACTTTCTGAACAAGTATTACATACTTGCTTTCATTTATTCATTTAGTTTATTTTTCCACGCACTCTGTGGTGATCATCCCTTTGTATTTGTCTTCTGTGTAGTTCTTGCTTGGTAGTAGGACTGCACTTCAGTCACGATTTCAAAACCACGGCATTCCTTCTGTTGGTGTTCTAGTTCATCCTTGTTTTCCTGTCTTCGAAGAAAATACAAAAAAAAAAAAAAACAGAGAAAACCAAAAAGAGAGAGAGAGAGAGAGAGAGAGAGAGAGAGAAGAATGGAGTTTGTAGCAGCCATTTTCGTGAAAGTGTTAGATTTCGTGGTAAAACCAGTTACTCGAAAAGTGTTAGATGTCATGGTAGAACCAGTTATTCGACAACTGGGTTACCTTTACTACTACAGAGACAACGTTCAGGAGCTGGATCGTTGTGCAGAGGCGCTCCAAGGTCGGAAACAGACATTGGAAAATCGAGTTCGGACTGCTGAAGGAAAGGGGGAGGACATTCCCGATGAAGTTAAACGGTTGGAGGAGATGGATAAGCTAATTAGAGAAGTAGAGGAGTTTAAAAGAGATGAAGGCCACCGAAAGACGGGGTTCCGCAATGGTTGCTTTCCTAATAACTTGAGGTTAAGGCATAAGCTTGGCAGAAAAGCAAAGAAGCTGTGCACTAATCTGCAGCAACAGCTAAAGCCTGATGAATATCGTCCAGATCTAGAAGCATCAAATGTTGCCCTCTCTGATGAGGATTATGAGCCATTTAAATCAAGAGATGCCATTCTGGAGGATGTTATGCGAGCATTGAGAAATCCTGCAATTAAAATGATCGGTATCTCGGGACAGGGAGGTGTTGGCAAAACCAGTTTAGTGAAAGCAATTGGAAGGGAAGCTAAAGCAGAAAAGCTATTCAATGTTGTGGTCATGGTCAATATAACAAGCACTCCCAATGTAAGAAAGGTTCAAGGAGAAATGGCAGCCATGTTGGGCTTGACATTGGATGATGAGACCGAGATTGGAAGAGCAGGTCGTTTGCGACAGAGACTGAAGAAGGAGAAGGAGAACACCCTGGTCATCTTGGATGATCTTTGGGCTAGATTTGACTTGAGTATGTTGGGGATTCTGTCTGAAGATGATGATCCCGGCCAAATGAGAGTCAGAGAGATGCCTAATGTTGGCCACAACCAGATGACAGACGACAAAATGGCAGGTGAGATGCCTAATGTTGGTCACAACCAGATGACAGATGACAAAATGGAAAGTGATTCCAAAGGCTACAAGATTTTGTTGACTTCTCGAAGCAGAGACGTGTTGTCAAGTGAAATGGGAGTAAAGGATTCAATTTTTACTGTGGATGTCATGAAGCAAGAGGAATCAGAGGAGCTGTTCAACAAGGTGGCTGGAATAACTAATGAAGATTATGAGTTGAAATTATTATCAACTAAAATTGTTCAGAAATGTGCGAATTTGCCCTTGGCAATAGTTGCTGTTGGAAAAGCTTTAAAGATTAACAAGGACAAAGATGCTTGGGAAAATGCTCTACAACGATTGGAAAAGCAAGAATTAGAACCTGTTAAATTTTCGGACAAGGTACGTGCTAATTTCTTGTACATTAAAGTTAATAAACTTAATTTTGATTTCTAGATAAAAATTCTATACTATACTCTTCTTGTTTTTTCTTTCTTGATACAATATATTATACTCTTCTATTTTGTTACTTTTCCCCTTATATATACAATCAACGCACTCTCTCAAATACATACCCAATTCATCATCAAAACACACACACACAGTGATTTTCAAAGTTATCGCCGTGTTTTAAAAAATATTATGATCAATTATCCAAGTGAAGGAGAAGATCTTTTTCAGGGAAAAAAATTGTTTTCCTATTACTTTATTTAGAATAGCCTAATGGCAATTAAAATTTAGACTACACTCTATGATAGGTGAAATTTAAATAGGAGAAAACTTGTATATTTAATTTTGTATATTTAAAATATTTGTATACAATTAAATCAAGATATGTGAATTTTTTATAAATTATTTGTTTTATAATAAATTTTTGTTATTGATTATATTAATAAAATACTATTCATATGTCATGATTTAATTAAATATAAGTATGTTAAGTATATGAAATTAAATGTATAAGTCTTATCTAATTAAATATTCACTTTTCCAGATTTACTTTTGGTAGCTGGAATTTTTAGTGGTTTGTGTGCATCATCGTAACCCTTTATGATCCTTTTGTCTTAATGGTATATATGTGTCAGAAGGGCATGATTTGGGTACGAAACAAGTGGGCCCACTGTATTTGTCACGCTATTACCATTCTTAAGTTAAACTACCTTCTTCTTCTTCTTCAAGACATCGTAGTTTAAAACTAGCAAGTTTTCTAACATTGGAGAAAATGGTTTTTATGTGGGAAAGAAAATACATGTATTTGTTCTGGCTGAAAAAAATACATATATTTGAGATATGTGTGTGTGTGTGTGTGTGTGTGTGTATTTCAGTTTTAAATGTTCATTGATTTTCTGAATACTTTTATTTTTCGGTGGAAAAATGTTCTATAATTTTAAATTATCAAAATAAAGAAAATTTATTTTGTTATATTATTTGAACACTGTATATAAATGAAAGGTATTAGGGGCCCATTTATTATAGCTTATTTTATGAAAAAATCACTTATTTTTTGAAAACAATTATTTTGTGAGTTTTTATTATAATTTTTTAAACTTTTAAAAATAATCAGAATATAAAAAAGTAGATTTTTGATTATTTTAAGAAGTTACTTTGTTTAGCTTTTGAAAATAATCTAATGCGACAGATGATGGAGAGTGTTTTAAAGAGACAAGATATGTTATATAATTTTAAAATAATATCATGATAAATCTTTTTTATAAAACAAAAATCAAGAAATATATCATAAAATTAAAAAATAACTCATTAATAATTACTTTTTTATTATTGTATTCAAACATAAAATAATATTTTTTTCTTATAAAATCTCTACAAAATAAATCTCTTTTTATAAAATTTTTAAACTATGTAAAAATTATTATTTTTTAATCTTTAACAAAATTTCATCTGTTTTAAAAAAGCTGTGTTTTGTTTTTTTACTGTTTTTTGGAATCATCAATTTAAAATAATGAAGGGAGTAGTTTTTTTTATGAACCAGCAACATCAACAAACCTTTCTGTTGTTTAATGGACTTGACCATATCTGATGCAGAGGTGTTTTTAGTGATTAGAACTTAGAAGATAAAAATAAACAATTTATTATATTTTAGATTTTGTCACGAGATATATCCAAAATAGACAACAATTTATTGTAGTCTATAAATGGTTATACCAATACAAATTTAAATTTAAAATGTATTTTTTATTTGAAAATTTGTTTCTTTGAGACTGTATAAATAACTTAGTTTATTTTAGAATCTTATAGCCGTGCATATTTATTAATAATAGAAATAAAAATTTGCTGTATCTTTTATATAAATTATTTTAGAATGTGTTGTTTTGTCCATGCATATTGAGAACATCAACTTTTCTGTTATATTCTCATACAACTTGTTTTAGAATTTGTTACCCGGGCTTATTTAAAAAAAAAAATTTATGTCTGTGGCCTGTGCATATTAAAAATGTAAAGAATTAATTCATTATTTCTATTTATTTAATCATTTAGTCCTCGTAGTTTTGATTTTATTATAATATAGTTCTTAAATTAACTCGTTATAAATCAATTCTTATAGTTTTGATTCAGCTGTAATTCAATTCCTAAATTTTGACTTGATACAACTCAATACCTATAATTTTAATCCATTTAAAATATTGATAACTATATTTAATAAAATAAATTTATAAAGATTAAAATTATGTTAAAATTAAGTATTAATATTTCTCTAATTACTTAAACTTTTAATCTTTGTAAAGATTGTGAATATTAGAATTTAAAATAGTTTTACTCCTTTTGTAATTTTATTTTCTAAAATATAGGGACTAGCCTAAGGGCATTTAAATGATTTTATTAGTGATAAAAAATTGTTTTCTTATTACTTAGAATTAACATCCTTAGCTTTTTTATTTTTATACCATAGACTTCTCTATTGTTATTTCTTATTTATCTCACCGACAGAAGTTGCCATGCTACACTTAAAAAAGACACCTAGTAGCTTTTGTAGTATTCAATATAAGTTAAAAACAACTTTGTAAAAAATTTATTTGATTTTGCAGGTTGTTTTTGCATCTTGTCAACATTTGAGACTTTGTTGTTATCCTGAGCTAGAGCAGCAGCTATGGCAGGGGAAAGTTTTCCACCAGACAACTGCTTTAACAATCTAAGAACACTGATAGTGGAGAATTGTTCCTTTCTGTCACAAGTGTTCCCTTCAAACTTACTTCCTTACTTTAAGAACTTGGAGGAGTTGGAGGTAAGTTGGAGTCCAGTGGAGGTTATTTTTGATATGGATGGCAACAGGTTGACAGAAACAAATGGAAAGCCCTTTCATTTGAGAAGAATGATTTTAAAGAGCTTGCCGAATTTGAAGTGTATATGGAGCAAAGATCCTTGTGGCACTATAAGTTTTCCAAATCTGAAAGAAATGGTTGTTATTGACTGTACGGGTATAAAAACTGTTTTTCTGGCATCTGTGGGAAAAAATCTTGTGAGGCTCCAAAAACTTGAAATAGGCCTATGTGATGGCTTGGAAGAAATATTTGGAAAGGAAGAAGCAGAAGCGGATGGAGTCAGTAGAAAATTTGAATTCCGTTACTTAGCCTCTTTGAATCTGCATGGTTTACCGAGCCTCAAGTTTTTTTATCCTGGAAGATATACTCTCGAGTGTCCCAACTTGGAGAGGCTACACGTGTTTGATTGCAATAAGCTGGATGCATTCGCATTAGATTTTCCGAGTCATCGAGGAGAAGTAGGATGTGAGGATGAAGCTGATATTACAACTGACAGGCAACCTCTTTTCCTGGATGAAAAGGTAATTTGATCTTCATTTCCATCATTCCTTCACTTTTCGTTCTTGCGTTGTGAAAAGAAAATATCTATATAAGCAATCCTTATCCTTGTTCTTTTTTTGCCTGTTTAATTTTCACTAATAGGTTATTCCGAACTTGGGCGCATTAACCCTCAATGGGAAAGACGTGATGATGTTATCACATGAAAATTTTCTTGATGACCTGCTTCACAAGCTGAAATACCTGGGTCTGTACTTTGGTGATTCCCATGAAGCAGGAGCTACTCTGCCTTTTAAATTCTTTCACAAGGTGCCTAATTTAGAATCTCTTGGTATAAGAAGTTTCAATGAACTGGATGAGATGTTCCCCTCCCAAAGACCTGAAGATATTGATCATGTCATCAATATACTTACGCAAGTGGAAGAATTATCCATGCATTGTTTGCCAATGCTCTCCTCCATTGGATTACATAATTCCTGGGTGGACCCACTTCACAAGAATCTGAGAGTCCTGGACATATATGATTGTCCTCGTTTGACTATTCTGGTGCCTTCATCTGCGGTATCCTTTTGCAATTTGAAACGATTGGAAATAAGGGGATGCCATGGGTTAGTTTCTCTGTTCTCATCTTCAGTAGCCAGAAGTTTGGGGCGACTTGAAAGAATGGAGATAACTGATTGTAGATCAATAGCACAAATAGTGAATCATGGGAGCGGTGAGTCAACTCCAGAAGAGATGATTTTTGAACGGCTTACATTTATAACTATGAGTCAGTTACCAAGGCTGGTGTGTTTTTATTCGGGGAATGCCACTTTAGAATTCTCAGCTCTGAGAGAAGCGACCATAGAACAATGCCCGAAGATGAAATGTTTCTCTCAAGGAGCAGTAAGGGCGCCCTACTTTGTAGGAATAAGAGCTCCAAGGGACGGAGTTGCTTGGCACGGCTATAGTGATCTCAACACAACAGTGCAGAAATTGTTTGACGAGAAGGTAAGTATTCACTCTCCATATTCATTTGTATTCATTTTTGTTAGGTTGAATTTTTAGTGGTTTGGGCGCGTCAACATACCATTTTTAACGTTGATATAAGTCAAAAGTTCAAAACCTTTCAATGTATCCAAAAAATAATAAAAATTAAATATTTAGTAAATATTTACTTGACATTTTTTTTAAAGAAAGTTACATTATCTAGAACAGTATGTGATTAATGTTTTTAGTGATATGTTTACAAAAAAGTAATAGTCTTGTGTAAGATAGAATTGTATGGGTAATTCCAAATAAAAAAATATATCAACGAAACAAAAGAATAATTTTTTTTCTCCTGCAAATAACTGTATTAACAAAATGTAAAAATATACAAAACTCCTTTTTGAGATAGCTAGATAGACTCCTCTCACCTCTACAAGTTTAAAATTAATATATTTAATTTTTACTAATAGATTAATTTTAAACTTTTGAAGGTAAGGTGGCTGTGTGCAACTGTCTTAAAATTTGGAGAGTTTTGTATATTTAAGGTATAACAAAATTACAAATAAATACTGTCTTCTTTAGAAAATGTAAAAACAGCTTAATTTATTTTAGAATTTATCAACTTGTTGCATTTAAATAAAAGTAAAAATTTATTTTATTCTCTGAATTGTTTAAATGGTTATACACGTGCAAATTAAAAATAGAAAACGCATATTTTGTTTTAAATGTTTTTCTTTAATATATTGTATAAACAAACTGGTTTAATTAGAATTTGTTTCTCCATACATCTTAAGAAGATAAATAAAACTTGTATTATTTTAACACAAATTACTTTAAAAATGTTCACACTGCAGATATTAATAATATAAATAGCTTGTTTTATTTAAGATCACTTATATATCTTAATCCATATTGAAAATATAAATAACACTTTAATTATTCTTGAATATTTTATTCATATAAATTAAAATTTATTGTAGCAACTTATTCTATTTTTCAATTTGTTACCCTGGTGTACGTTAAAACTTGAGTATATACTTTGTTAAAAAATGCAAGGCATTTTTAACTAAATCTCACCCTCAATAAAGTAGTTACTTTACTTTCAAACTAATCACATTTTTTTATATTTCCTATTAAACATCCTATAATAAATATAAAGTTATTTATCAATTGGGACATTTTTAGAAAAAAGGTAATGATTACACTTCAAAAAATTAAAAATGCTTATATTTTTGAACATTCAATTCCTCAAAAAATGGTTTATATTTTTTAATGGAGAGAGTATGTATTTTATCACAGAATTTACTACCTGTGCATTCCGTGTATTATAAGTTATGAAAAACTTAAGAGCTAATTTAGAAACTAAATAAATAAAAAAAATACGTGAAATTCCTCACAAAAATGTTTATAATAATATTATAAAATTTAGACAACCTGCCCTATTTTATTATTTTTTATAGAAAACATTTATATACTTAGTTTTATATATTAACGGAACTTGTTTCTATTAAATCAAAATTGAGGATCTTTTTATTAATTATTTATTCTAGAAATAATTTTTTATTAATATTATTAACATCTTAAAATACACTTATTTAAAAGTATGTCAAGTAAATAAGTTGAAGTTCACAAGTTTTACTTTCTCTTATCTTTTATCTCCAAGGATATTAAAAACTTGAAGAAAATATCTGATTCTAAATTCATTATCCCATACATGTTAAAAATTAGAAACAAAAATGTGTTTAGGTTTCCTATAAAATTCGTAATTTTATACCCGCCAATAACATATATATCCATCAATTTCTCCATATTTTTAAATATCATTCCTTAATACTTGAACTTTGACATGTGGCATGCTCTAATTTGAATTTCCAAATCTAGCTTCCCTCCAAATCGTTTCCTCTTCCATTATATTTGTTGATTCTAAGAGCAAATATTCGGTTCTGTATTACGTGCTGTTCTACTGTATGTGCAGTCGGATGGTTTAGTAATATATTTGGAGCAATTTGTCTTGAAAATGACAAAACATATTGTGTCAAAAAAAAAAAAAACCTGTCAATTTCAAAAGTTTTATTAAAATTCAATTTCATAGCGCTAAATGTTACTGCTTATTCTTTTACCTATAAAAATTGTTATATATATTCTTTAAATTAAATTTCATTTAACTACTTTAAATACCCTCTCCTTTCAAAAATATAAAGCAGTTTTTAATGAGTTAGATTAAAAAGTGAAGTCATTTTTATTTTTTGAGGTGTAATTATGGTCTTTTATCAAACGTGCCCCTATTGATAGATGATTTTATATGTATTGTAGGGTATTTAATATGGATAAATATAAACATATAGAGTGAGTTTGGAAAGTAGATAACTATTTTATTCGGGGGTGAGATTTAGTTAAAAATACCTTATATTTTAAACGGAAGGAGTATGCTTTTTGAAATAATGATTCAATCATTTTTTTTTTCACGTTTTGTTTTCAAAACTTGTTCCAAGAAATTTCTCTACAGAACTGTTTTAAGAATATATAGACATAAAACAAAACCAAAAAACCCCATAGTTATTATACTCCTTCCGTTTTTAATTATAAAACACAATTTAGGAAAAATTTGATGATGACTTAACAAGCCACTTGATGAAGTGTTAATTAAACTTTTCAATATATTCTTGTTTAATCCATTAAATATAAGAAAAAAATGTCATTGCAGATGTTAAAATTTTACATTTAAATATGCAAAAAGTTGAGAATTTATTTTATTTTCAAACAAAATTAATTGATTTCACTCCGCTCTTTAGTTCTAATGAGATGGTTAGAGATGTTTTTATAAAGGGAACTAAAAAAAGCATTTTCTTTTGCCAAAAAGAATTAATATATAGGTCTTTTAGTTACCACTGTCATTAATTAATTATTGGATGGGCATGCATGGTTATATTCTGAAAGGAAAAAACTTTTGTTACGCAATGACATCATTGTATGATTATAAGACTTTATTTTCAGAGCTGAATAATCTTTTGATCGTAACAACCTCTTCCACTTTGCAAATACCTATCTTTCCACGGACAAAAACTTGCTTGTGAAACAAGCTTTCAATTCAACCGTGTCTATGTTCGGCCAAGCTCATGTATTGAGGGAAATTAATAAATTATTTTTTTCACCAAGTCTGTTTTCATATTATTGTATGTGATGAGTTAGCTCCCAAGTATATGTGGATCTGCTAAATTAATATTTTTCCTTTTAGGTATTTATTAATTTTCTTAATATTTTATTCTTTGAGAAAAAATATGATATAAATTTAATGTGTCAATAATTAATTTTTTTAATGTTTCGCACTATAATAAAACACTTTTATAGTTTTCAGTTGGACTTTCTTACAGTAAATTACAATTCCTATCACAAGAGTTTGTTTAAGGGCAACAGGTAGAAGAGCACACATAACTTAGTTTGATTGGCAAAAAGTATTTGATTGATTTTAGTCCTGTTGTAGGGCAAAGAGAAGAAAAAAATTATTTCTATTTATAGAATATTTGTCAATTTCCAATACTCTTATTAAATGCTTACATAAAAGTATCAATAACGAGATTTAAAAATATTTATCAGAGGTAAAGAGGAAAACTGTTTTTAAATGTTAGATAAAATTAATAAGATTTAAGGTTTTTTTTTTATTTTCGGTAAACGTGTTGGAAGTGATTATAAATAAGATAAGTGGGGTGTACTATCTAAGTTCTGCAACCTACATTTTTCCAATAATGCATATCATAAAACTATTTTTTTTTTTACATTAATACCGCCAAAGATAATATGAAATTGCTTCCAAACAATCTTTTAAAACAAGCCGAAGTAGGAAAGCTTACAACGATGCATGGAAATTTAAAATTATTGTTTAAAATAAGACACACACACACATTATTTTCAACTATCAGAACATTGAACCAGTTAGGATCCACGTTTTTTAATACACAAATCAATTTATTTTTGTTTTCAGAGCTATAGTTCTAGCTTCTTATTAGATTTGGATATTCTTAGATAACAAAACAAAAGATAAATTGATATAAAAATAGATGAACAATATTTAAAACATAAGGAAAAATTAAAGAGAGGAAACTTTTTTTGTAGTTTCTCTCATCTATCCTGTGTGTTATCATTCTGTTTTTTAAGTGACATTTTAATTTAAAAATATCAGAATTCTAAGATCCCTAAACAATTCGGCCTACGATTGGGTGGAAAGAACACCGTTTTTTTTTTTTTTTTGCATTAAATGAACTACAAATTTGAAGCTTGTTCTTTCGATGAGATGTAACGGAGAAAAGTTACATATGATTGTTGATGCATTGGGTGGGCTTGAGCCTTGACTTCTTACATCCCTCTCCCCAGCCTTATTATCTGAGTTAGTGCAATGCTAATATTGGTTATGAACATTACATATTAATTAATTTGTAAATTTATTGAGATTTAGGTTAAAATCAATTTAATTAAGCTGAGACTTGTGAGTATTTAAATTTTCTTCTAAGGAAAGATTAATTTTTATGTTAAAAACGAAAACAGGGAAATTGTGTAATATTTAGTTTTTGTCAAGTTTAATATTCATTTAAATCTCAGCGAAAGTTGGGGGACAACAGTGGGAAGTGAGAAGAGATAATTGGTTGATATATTCTCCCACAAGCTTGAAGCAGCCTTAATTATTTACTGTTTTCACATATAATTATAATGAACGTCAAAGTAGTGTTTATAAGAGCCTAATGTATCCACTGTGTTCAGTTGGAGCAGCTGGCACAATTTGCACGTGATGTGCAGCAAATGAATCTCAAAGATCATTGTGAGCTTGAAGATATATGGCTTGATAAAATGGCAGTCCCTGATGGAGGGTTCAATCGGTTGAAGACTTTGACAGTGGATAGTTGCTATTTCTTATCAAAGAATGTGATCCCTTTTCACTTGCTTGGCTTCCTTTGTAACTTGGAAGTTTAGAAGTACGAAATTGTGGTTCTGTAAAGGCAATATTTGAGGTGGGATCCCTGTCTTCCCCATTCTCCTTTCTCTTGAAAACATTGACCTTGGAACGTCTCTCTAATCTGGAGAATGTTTGGAATAATGAGGACCCTCATGAATTTCTCAGCTTCCAATCTTTGCAACGTATGTCTGTTAATGAATGTAGAAGTCTCAAGAGCTTATTTCCAGCATCAATGGCTGCACCAGGCAAACTTGTGAGTGTTGAAAAACTAGAAGTGGAAGATTGTGTGGAATTAGTAGAAATTGTTGCCAAGGATGAAACAACTCCAAGAGGAGCAGCTTCAAACTCAATTCTATTTCCCAGCTTAACCATGTTGAAGCTAGGCAGATTGCCAAAGCTCAAGTGCATCTATTCAGGACAAAATAATCTGGAATGGCCCAGGTTACAAGAATTGGTTGTATATCAGTGCAGTTTGCTAAAGAATTTCCCAGCATTGGGTCAAGATCATTTTCCAGTTGATGCGGAAAAGGTAATATTATAGTGTTGCCATCACAACTTTTTTTAATTCCTTTTCACTTAATTTGATGTATACTGATCACCTTAATACTAGCAATGTTACTAGTATTAAATCTACCCCGTCAATAGTGTTCATTTCTAATCATAATTTTCTTGATTCTAGGTTTTTCCCAACCTCGAGCATCTTTCACTTAGCGGGGAAAACATCTTGCATACTTGGCAAGCCCCGATTAAGGCAAAGCTTCTTCAAAGAGTGAAATTTCTGGAATTGAAATTCATTGGTTTTGATTATGATAAATTTCCATATGGATTTTTCCAAAAGGAATTACTACCCCATGTAAAAAGCTTCAAGTGTATGGGGGTAACTTCAAAGAGATATTTACCTCTGAAATATCAAGTATGGAAGGCAATGGTGATATGTTCTTTTCTGAATTGAAAATTTTAGAATTAATGTCGCAGTCGAAGCTCTATTTAATCGGGCTGGAGCACATGCCTCTACCTAGACACCTAGAAATGTTGAAAGTGGATTGATTGTCCTTGTTTGATCAACTTGGCACCATCTACTGTGGCTTTCTCAAATTTAAGGGGTCTACATGTGAGTAATTGCATGGCATTGCAATATTTGTTCACATCCTCAACGGCAAAAGGTTTACTTTACTTGAAGAGTTAACAGTAAGTTCATGTGGATCAATACAACAAATAGTGGGTGAAGGAGGAAAATCAGGTGCAGATGAAATTACATTCAGGAAACTCAAAACATTGTCTCTTTCTGATTTGCATAGTCTTGGAAGCTTTCAGGGGAAATTCTACTCTGAACTCCCATCATTGGAACTTGTGATTGTTCATGAGTGTCCGAGAATGAAAATTTTTTCCCATGGAGTTATAAATGCATCTCAGCTTGTACAATTTCAGCCAATCCTCTTGACACGCACCAAAATTCTCGTCCAGAGTATAGTGGCAGGGATCTAAATGCCGCGATTTCTCATTTACAGGTAAGTTCTCTCTCTACTCTCATTTCTTATAATCATGTTATGGAGTAACACGTTAGATATAAGACATCTATTATTTCCAAACTCCTTTTATCTTGGTGTAGTTAATTTATCATAGTCATTCGGTTTGGCTAAAATTGCAGGCATTTCCTCTCTCTATTTTTTTTTTTGGGTCAGACATTTTCTTTCTGTATTTAAAATCTGAACTTTAGTAAAAATTTTAATATTGTTAATAATATTTAGTTAAAGATTTTTAATTGCTTAATTTTATTAATGAAAATTATGCTAAAGATTTAAATTTATTATTTTGACCTCATAATATAATTTTCCACTCTCCATAATTTAAATTAAAATAAACATAAATGGTATCAACTAATTTATCAATTACAATATTAAATTCTCCATTCACTAATTTTTTGACATACAAGTTTAAAATTATCCAATTTATGTATTTAAAACTTAAATTAGGGTATTTTGGTCCAAATGATGTGATTTAGCCATCAATGAATGATATGGTGGATGGAAATAGAATTTTAAAAGTAAGGGAGGTTTGTGTTTTAAAACTTCTATTTTTTTAATAACTTCAAAACTTATAATCTTAGAGAAGTTTATATTAATTTAAAAATAGAATGAAGATTTCTACAAATATGCTATTATAGATGGGAGGTCCATGTATTTTCCTCTTGATCAAATCCTTTTAGTTAGCAATAGCGTTAATATTTTGAGCGTATATTTATATTTACGAAAAATGAATTGTTTGAGAAGGAATTTCTTAGTTACACGGATTTCTTTTAACATAAAATAATATTTCATAGTAGTAACTATGGGTGGAGATAAATTTGTTATATATTTTAACCTCACAATATAATTGTTCACTCTAGGGGCGGAAGCTGCCTTTGAATTTTGACCAAGTTTTCTTTTTGAAATCAATATATATTATTAATTTATTTTTTATAAATTTTAAAAAATAAAATAATAATAAAATCATTACTATTTTTTTCTTTTTTTAATTTAAAATCCAAGTTTTCATATTTGATTAAAAAAATACATTAAATATATAAATTTAATTAATATCTACTTTTTTTCAAAAATAAACTATGTAAAATTATGCACCACTGAATATTGATGATTTGGAGGGAATATGATAAATATTCAAATTTTATAAAGAAATTAAATCAATATATATGATATAAATTTAAAAATATTTGGCGTAGAAAAATCTGAATTAATATTTTTAGCAAATCAAATAAAAAGTCTATATTATTGCAAATGCTCATTTTTTTTATAATAATTAACGTTTTTTAAATGTTTTTTGTTAATTACTATGTTTGTTATAATAATTTGAATTTCCAATTCTAGCTTCCCTCCAAATCGGTTCTCACTTACATTATATTTATTGATTGTAAGAGCAAATATTCGGTTCCCTATTACGTGCTGTTCTACTGTATGTGCAGTCGGATGGTTTAGTAATATATTTGAAGCATTGTGTCAAAAAAAAAAAAATTCCTGTCAATTTCAAAAGTTTTGTTAAAATTACAATTTCATAGTGCTAAATGTTACTGCTCCATTTAAAAATATAAAGCAGTTTTTGAGGAGTTGGATGTTAATTTTAATCTTTTAAGGTATAATCATTTTTTTTTACCAAACGTGCCCCTATTGATGGATGACTTTATATTTATTATAGAATGTTTGATAGGGGTAAATATGAAAAGATTGAATTAGTTTAAAAGTAGGTAACTATTTTATTGGGGGGTGAAATTTGATTAAAAATACTTTATATTTTAAGGAGTATGCTTTTTGAAATAATGATTCAATCATATATTCTTTTTTCACTTTTTGTTTTCAAAACTTGTTCTAAGAAATTTCTCTACAGAACTGTTTTAAGAACATATAGACATAACACAACCAAAAACCCCCATAGTTATTAAACTCCTTCTAGTTTTTATTATAAAACACAAATTAGGAAAAAAGTTGATGATACTTTACAAGACATTTGACGAAGTGTTAATTAAGCTTTTTCAATATTATTCTTATTTAAATCCATTAACTATAAGAAAAAAATGTAATGCAGATGTTAAAATTTTACATTTAAATATGCAAAAGGTTGAGAATTTATTTTATTTTCAAACAAAATTAATGATTTTACTACCGCTTTTAGTTCTAATGAGATGGTTAGAGATGTTTTATAAAGGGAACTAAAAAAAGCATTTTCTTTTGCCAAAAAGAAATTAATATATAGGTCTTTTAGTTACCACTGTCATTAATTAATTATTGGATGGGCATGCATGGTTATATTCTGAAAAGGAAAAAACTTTTGTTACGCAATGACATCATTGATGATTATAAGACTTTATTTCAGAGCTGAATAATATTTGATCGTAACAAACCGCTTCCATTTTGCAAATACATATCTTCCACGGATAAAACTTGCTTGTGAAACAAGCTTTCAATTCAACCGTGTCTATGTTCGGCCAAGCTCATGTATTGAGGGAAATTAATAAATTATTTTTTTTAACAAGTCTGTTTTCATATTATTGTATGTGATTAGTTAGCTCCCAAGTATATGTGGATCTGCTAAATTAATATTTTTTCCTTTTAGGTATTTATTAATTTTCTTAATATTTTATTCTTTGAGAAAAAATATGATATAAATTTAATGTGTCAATAATTAATTTTTTTAATATTTCGCACTATATAAAACACTTTTATAGTTTTTAGCTGACTTTGTTACAGTAAATTACAACTCCTAATCACAAGAGTTTGTTTAAGGGCAATAGATAAAAGAACACACATAACTTAGTTTGATTGGCAAAAGGTACTTGAGTGCTCCTTTAGGGCTAGTTGTAGGGCAGAGAGAAGAAAAACATTATTTCTATTTATAGAATATTTATCAATTTTCAATGAACATTTTTATATTTTTACTCTTATTAAATATTTTAAATAAAAGTATCAGTGATGAGATTTTGAAAATATTTATTAGAGGTAAAGATAAAAACTTGTTAAATTTTAAGACAGTTAATGAGATTTGAGATTTTTTTTAATTCCGTTAGGACATGTTAAAAATGATTTGTAAATAGGATAAGTGGGTGTATCATAACTAACTTTTTTTTTTTTTTTTACATTAATGCCGCCAAAGATAATGTGAAATTGCTTCCAAACAATCTTGCAACCAAGCCGAAGTATAGGATAAGCTTACACGATGGATGGAAATTTAAAAATTATTCTTTAAAATGAGACACACACACACACACACACACACACACACACACACACTTTATTTTCAAGTATCAGAACATTGACTTGTTAGGATCCACATTATTAATATGAAAATCACATTTATTTTTGTTTTCAGAGCTATTAGCTCTAGCTTCTTATTAGATTTGGATATTCTTAGATAACAAAGCAAAAGATTAAGTTGATATAAAAATAGATGAACAGTATTTAAAACGTAAAAAAATTAAAGAGAGGAAATTTTTTTTGTAGTTTCTCTCATCTATCCTGTGTGTTATCATTCTGTTTTTTAAGTGACATTTTAATTTAAAAATATCGGAATTCTAAGATCCCTAAACAATTCGGCCTACGATTGGGTGGAAAGAACACCCTTTTTTTTTTTCCGCTTTAAATGAACTACAAATTTGAAGCTTGTTCTTTCGATAAGATGTAACGGAGAAAAGTTACATATGATTGTTGATGCATTGGGTGGGCTTGAGCCTTGACTTCTTACATCCCTATCCCCAGCCTTATTATCTGAGTTAGTGCAATGCTAATATTGGTTATGAACATTACATATAATTGTTGAAATCAATTTAAATTTATCAAATTAAGTTAAAACAAAAGGTAATTAATTTGTAAATTTATTGAGATTTAGGTTAAAATGAATTTAATTGAGCTGAGACTTCTGAGTATTTAAATTTTCTTCTAGAGGAAAGATTAATTTTCATGTTAAAAACGAAAATGGGGAATTGTGTAATATTTATTTTCTGTCAAGTTTAATATTCATTTAAATCTCAGCGAAAGTTGGGGGACAACAGTGGGAAGTGAGAAGAGATAATTGGTTGATATATTCTCCCACAAGCTTGAAGCAGCCTTAATTATTTACTGTTTTCACATATAATTATAATGAACGTCAAAGTAGTGTTATATGAGAGCCTAATGTATCCACCGTGTTTTGTTGGAGCAGCTGGCACAATTTGCACGTGATGTGCAGCAAATGAATCTCAGAGATCATTTTGAGCTTGCAGATATATGGCTTGATAAAGTGGCAGTCCCTGATGGAGGGTTCAATCGGTTGAAGACTTTGACAGTGGATAGTGTCTATTTCTTATCAAAGAATGTGATCCCTTTTCGCTTGCTTGGCTTCCTTTGTAACTTGGAAGTTTTAGAAGTACGAAATTGTGGTTTGGTAAAGGCAATATTTGAGGTGGGATCCCTGTCTTCCCCATTCTCCTTTCTCTTGAAAACATTGACCTTGGAAGGTCTCTCTAGTCTGGAGAATGTTTGGAATTATGAGGACCCTCATGAATTTCTCAGCTTCCAATCTTTGCAACGTGTGTCTGTTAAGGAATGTATAAGGCTCAAGAGCTTATTTCCACCAGGCAAACTTGTAAATGTTGAAAATCTAACCACGTTGGAGCTACGCAGATTGCCAGAGCTCAAGTGCATCTATTCAGGGCAAAATATTCTGGAATGGCCCAAGTTACAAAAGTTGGTTGTATATCAGTGCATTTTGCTAAAGAATTTCCCAGCATTGGGTCAAGATCATTTTCCAGTTGATGCGGAAAAGGTAATATTATATTGTTGCCATCACAACTTTTTTTAATTCCTTTTCACTTAATTTGATGTATACTGATCACCTTAATACTAGCAATGTTACTAGTATTAAATCTACCCCGTCAATAGTGTTCATTTCTAATCATAATTTTCTTGATTCTAGGTTTTTCCCAACCTTGAGCATCTTTCACTTAGCGGGGAAAACATCTGGCATACTTGGCAAGCCCCGATTAAGGCAAAGCTTCTTCAAAGAGTGAAATTTCTGGAATTGAAATTCGCTGGTTATGATTATGATAAATTTCCATATGGATTTTTCCAAAAGGAATTGCTACCCCATGTAAAAAAGGTTCACGTGTGTGGGGGTAGCTTGAAAGAGATATTTACCTCTGAAATATCAAATATGGAAGGCAATGGTGATATGGTCTTTCTGAATTGAAAATTTTAGAATTAATGCATCAGTGGATGCTCAATTTAATCGGGCTGGAGCACACTCCTCTACCTAGACACCTAGAAATGTTGAAAGTGGATGATTGTCCTTGTTTGATCAACTTGGCACCATCTACTGTGGCTTTCTCAAATTTAAGGGGTCTACATGTGAGTAATTGCAGGGCATTGCAATATTTGATCACATCCTCAACGGCAAAAAGTTTTACTTTACTTGAAGAGTTAACAGTAAGTTCATGTAGATCAATACAACAAATAGTTGGTGAAGGAGGAAATGAATCAGGTGCAGATGAAATTACATTCAGGAAACTCAAAACATTGTCTCTTTCTGATTTGGACAGTCTTGGAAGCTTTCTAGTTGGAAATTCTCCTCTTAACTTCCCATCATTGGAACTTGTGACTGTTCATGAGTGTCCGAGAATGAGAATTTTTTCCCATGGAGATATAAATGCATCTAAGGTTGTACAATTTTCAGCCAATCCTCTTGATACGCGCCAAAATTCTCGTCCAGAGTATAGTGGCAGGGATCTAAATGTCGGGATATTTCATTTACGGGTAAGTTCTCTCTCAACTCTCATTTCTTATAATCATGTTATGGAGTAACACGATAGATATAAGACATCTATTATTTCCAAACTCCTTTTACTTGGTGTAGTTAATTTATCATAGTCATTCGGTTTGGCTAAAATTGCAGGCATTTCCTCTCTCTATTTTTTTTTTTTGGGTCAGACATTTTCTTTCTGTATTTAAAATCTGAACTTTAGTAAAAATTTTAATATTGTTAATAATATTTAGTTAAAGATTTTAAATTGCTTAATTTTATTAATGAAAATTATGCTAAAGATTTAAATTTATTATTTGACCTCATAATATAATTTTCCACTCTCCATAATTTAAATTAAAATAAACATAAATGGTATCAACTAATTTATCAATTACAATATTAAATTCTCCATTCACTAATTTTTTGACATACAAGTTTAAAATTATCCAATTTATGTATTTAAAACTTAAATTATGGTATTTTGGTCCAAATGATGTGATTTAGCCATCAATTAATGACATGGTGGATGGAAATAGAATTTTAAAAGTAAGGGAGGTTTGTGTTTTAAAACTTCTAGTTTTTTTAATAACTTTAAAACTTATAATCTTAGAGAAGTTTATATTAATTTTAAAAATAGAATGAAGATTTCGACAATTATGCTATTATAGATGGGAGGTCCATGTATTTTCCTCTTGATCAAATCCTTTTAGTTAGCAATAGCATTAATATTTTGAGCGTATATTTATATTTACGAAAAATGAATTGTTTAAGAAGGAATTTCTTAGTTACACGAATTTCTTTTAACATAAAATAATATTTCATAATAGTAACTATAGGTGGAGATAAATTTGTTATATATTTTGACCTCATTATATATTTTGTCCACTCCAAGGGGCGGAACCAGCCTTTGAACTTAAGGAAGGCCAAGTTTTCTTTTTGAAATCAATATATATTATTAATTTAACTTTTTATAACTTTTAAAAATAAAATAATAATAAAATCAAATATTTATTCTTATATATTATTAATTTAATCTATAATTCTTTCTTATCATTAATATTTTTCTGATTTTTAATTTAAAACCCAAGTTTCCTTATTTGTTTTAAAAAATACATTAAATATGTAAATTTAATTATTTGATTGATGATTTGGAGGGAGTATGATAAATATTGAAATTTTATGAAGAAATTAAGTCAATATGCATAAGATATAAATTTAAAAATATTTGGCATACGTAGAAAAATCTGAATTAATATTTTAATCAAATCAAATAAAAAAGTCTATATTATTGCAAATGTTCAATTTTTATAATAATTGATGTTTTTTTTTTTGAAATGATTAAATTGAAAGAAAAAGAGGAATATGTAATAACTAATATATATCCAAAAAATATGTATATATAAATAACAGGATCATTTTTTATGAACGAGAAGTTAGTCATAATTAACAAAAATATTTTAATAAATTAAAAGTGTATATATTTTATAATGCTCCCGAAGAATTATATAACTTAATGTGTGTGTGTTTGTTTCGTATGCAATGAAGTATAAGAAGTGGGGGTTTGTTTGGTTATGGGTAAAGGACGTGGGGGAACAAAGAGAAAATTGTGAGATAGAGACTTTAGCTGTAGTACCATATATATGTTCAGAAGCGTTGTAGGTCGGCCCCTTGTCCACTCTCTCTAATTTATAATGAAATAAAAATAAATGGTATCGACTAATTTATCTTTCAGGCCAAAAAAAATTATTTTATATTATATTAAATTATCCATTCATTAATTTTATTATATATTTGAAATATTATTTTATCTAACTTATGCATTTAAAATTTAGAAATTACTAAATACAAGTTTTCATAACTAAATAATTTTAAAATAATTTAAAGAAGTTAAAAGTATGTTCCTTAGAATTATTTTTTGTAGCCTAAATGATTTTTATAAACATTTATTTTAAATTAGGATATTTTGGTCAAAAAGATGTGATATAGCAGTCAATTAGTGATTGGCGGGATGAAAACAGAATTATAAAAGTAAGGGGAGGTTTGTGCTTTACAATTTTTGATTTTAGAGAATTTTATATTGATTTTAAAAAGGGAATGAAAATTTCTATGAATAAGTTATTATAGAGGGGAGGTTCGTGGATTTTCCTTTTTATCAAATCATTTTAGCAAGCAATAACAATAATTATTTGAGAGTATGTTTATATTTAGAAAAAAAAATTAAAAAGGAATTTCTTAGATACACGAATTTCTTTAAAAGTAAAATAATATTCAAAGTTACTAATTTTTTTTACATAATTATGTTAAAAAATAATTGTGTACTTCTTATCCAGCAATCTTACAATCAAAGCTAAGCTGTGCCAAACTTATTGTAGGTGGAGATAAAGAAATTGTTGATTTTTCATAAAAGTATTTCTTTGTGTTATGACTGGCGTTTTTTAAAGAAATTAGATGCTTAACTCTATATATTTAAGTTTATTATTTTTAAGTAAATTAAGACTTGTGAATCATTTATACTCCTTTTCTTTAAAATATTATATGTGGTTGTTTACAAAAATTGTGAATTACTTTTAAAACAAGAAATTAATGAGATAACAAGAAAAGATAAAATATAGAAAATGTGAACAAAATTTAAATATACAACAAAAGTGGCCGGAGGCTTCTGGTCAAGACAACACATCGATTAAAGTTTAAAACTAAAAATATAAGGTCCAATTAATACATTAAATTATCATTATATGATTTCCATAACTATTTAATGTTTTTTAAAAATTCCCAGTCATGATACTTATAATTTTTTACCATTTTAATTTAATTTCATTGAAATTTTATGATCTTTGGCTTTTTTAATCATAATGTATTTTGAATGTTAATTTTAACTGATATGTAATACTTTTATTTAAGGTATTTGAATAAGTAGAGTGCTGAACGGAAATCTCACGAAGTCGTTGCTTTTTGGTTAAAAAAGACCCTCCTTTTCTTTCACCTTATCTTTGGTTTTTTCCATAATAGAAAAATATTTTTTTTTAAAAAAATCTGAATTCTATATTTTTTTTAAGAAAAGAGTCTGTATTTCAAAAGGAATTTGAACAAAAGAAAATGTTTATTAACTTGTATATAATATTAGGCATTAGCCATTATATAATGATTCAAGTCATTCAAGTGCTTAGAAAGTAATTTCATCTCTCACTCATATTGCTATTTGTTGATGTCCAAAACAAACCTTTTAGAAATCATATACATATTACACTAATAGTCGACTTCCACTGCTTCAATTGTTTTGCTTGTGCAGCTTGCAAACCGTGCACAAGACGAATATCTGGAGCTTTGAGATAACCCGGAGCTACTGGAAGTATGGCAGTGTGTTGTGCCAGTCCCAGATAGAGAGGCTTTTGTAACTTGACGGATCTGACAGTGCATGGTTGCCAATCTTTGACACATGCGATTCCCTCTCACTTGGTCCCCTTCCTCTGTAGCTTGAAATGGTTAACAGTACGAGATTGCAATGCTGTCAAGGCAATAGTTGATGTGGGTCCCATGTCCACGCCTTTCTCCTTTGCACTGGAAACATTGACGTTGGAACAATTACCCAATCTGGAACATGTTTGGAACGAGGATCCTAAGGAAATTATCAGCTTCCAATGTTTGCAGGAAGTGTGTATTGATGGGTGCAGTGGCCTCAAAAGCTTGTTTCCAGCATCAATGGCCCAGGGCAAACTTGAAAGCCTCAGGGAACTAAAAGTGAAAAATTGTGAACAATTAGTAGAAATTGTTGCCGGGTATGAAACAATCTCAGGAGGAGCAACTTCAAACTCAATTATCTTTGCTGGCCTAACCATGCTGAAACTCCATACATTGCCAAAGCTCAAGTGCATCCATCCATCAATAGACAATTTGGAATGGCCCAAGTTAGAAAAATTACTTGTCTATCAATGTGGTCAGCTGAAGAATTTCCCACCATTAGGTCAAGATTATTTTGCAAAAGACACAAAAGCCACTATCTCACATTAGAAAAGGTAATTTTGCTATTATCACATTTTTTAAAATATCTTCAATAATCATGATCTACATCAATCACCTTGATACAATAATTTTAAATTCACTTGTCAGCTAGATTACAAATATACTACAGAGTTCTATTTTGAGGTAGTTAAATATTTTAAATTTAACCCCTTATTATCGCCATATTCTAAAAATGACTTTGTTGATTCTAGGTTTTTCCCAACCTAAAGCAATTGTCACTCAGCAAGAAACACATCATGCAAATTTGGCAATCTCCATTCCAGGCAAAGCTTCTTCAGAGAGTGAAATCTCTCAAATTGAAATTCTTTATTGATGATTCACATGAATTTCCATTTGGATTTTTCCAGAAGGAATCGTTGCCCCATTTAGAAGAGCTTGGATTGTCTCGTAGTAACTTCAAAGAGTTATTCACCTCTAAAAGTTCTGATCTGGATGGCTATTTTGTTGTGTTCTTTTCACAACTAAAGACCTTAAAATTGAGTTCTTTGTCACAAAGCTAAGGGGTCTGACTATAACGAAATGTGATAGATTAGTATATTTGTTCACATCTTCAACTGCAAAAAGTTATCTCTACTCAAAAAGTTGTCCGTATGGAATTGTGAATCAATGCAACAAATAGTTGCTAAAGGAGATGAATCGGGTCAAGACGTGATAACATTTGAGAATCTCAAAGAATTGTTTATCAGCGATCTTCCAAGACTTGATAGCTTTTACCCGGGGACTTGCAATTTGAAATTCCCTTCCTTGGAACAAGTTTCAATATTCGACTGCTCTCAGATGAAGGTTTCTCTCATGCTGATATATATGCACCGGATAATGTGACTATTGATTATCTTTTGGATAATAATCTTAGAGCTATGCTGGAGAAGGCCTTCAAGAAGGCAGCCTGATGAGTTATTACAAATGAGAAATTTTGCACTGTTATCGGTAGGTATATAATTAATGTCTACTTCTACTTTAGTAATGCATAATCATTAATGGTCATGTTTACGCAGATAGTTGTTTATACTCTCTCTCTCTCTAGCTCTCTTTCTATTGCCTTCAATCTTAAAGTGACCTATTAAATGTCCCTTTGTTTTCATGATTTGAGCCAAACTTAACATCGTTTATTAGTTCAATGTGGGGCTATAATGCAACATAGTTGACTATATCCACGCACAGAGTTATAACGTCTATAGTAGAAGATATTTGGGATGCAAATGGAAAAGACTAGGGAGCTGTGTTGCTTACTTTGTTTGTGTTTATTGTTTCAGGAAATCATCTTTTACAAGACAAGCTTATTTTGGTTCTGCTTCTCAGTCACACCGCTTTAAAGTAAATACAGTAAGTGATGCTAGCTACTGTATGTATTGTTGATTAGCTAGAGAAAAATAATAACTCAAAATAAAATCTTTGATTAGTGTATATATTATTACTCTTTGAAGTTATGCAGGTTGAGGGAGATTGGAATCGTCCTTGTCATTTTCCTTGGGTTGATGATGTAGAAATTGAAGACTAGGTTTGTGTGGATTCTCAGTTCCAGATTGTAAGTTGTAAAATATTCAGAGATGAAAACTTACTGAATTCCAATTTGAGGTGGTGACCTTTATATTTGAATCAGAAGGAACTCTGGACAAATTGTTTGAATGACATTGATAAGAAAACGAACGCTTGTCAGTTGAGAATGTGTGCGCTTTTTAAGATATTTTTGGATGAGAGTTCATGGATGATTTCCTCTCTTAGATCTCTTCACTGATCATGCATCATTTGCTTAATTTACACACCGATGAGCGAGAGTCTTGCGATATTTTTCTAGGTTTAGCTTTGTTTTTAGTTTCAAAGAACAGAGGTAGACAAGTTGAAGGAGAGATCCTACAAAACCAAACTTGTACTAATTTATTAAAGCTAATACAACCATGTTTTTTTAACGCAATACTTCTCTTAATGGTGATTTAAACCTTAGTTCTTATATTGTGATAGATTAATTCTAAATATATGATTCATAATCATGTTTGCTAAACTTGATAGTGTTTTGAGTCTATTATAAAGACCTTTCCATCTTGTTTTAAATATGATTAATCTAAATTATCTCAAATTTTTTTATCAACAATAGTATCTTGCATCGGTCAACGTTCATTTAATTTTGATTTCAAACAAAAATTGAAGTTATAAAATGACAATGTCAAAAGTCAAAACCAAATACTTTGTCAGAAATATCAATTTAATAATATATAATTCATAAGTCAAGTGCATCAAATTAAATAAGCATTTTCACAAAATTTTATCCATTGATATTAATGATATAATGATATATTAAGTGCACATTTAGATATTAACTGTTTGAGTAAGCGAATATGACTCAATTTTCTTTTCTCCTAAAAAAATAAAGAATTCTTAAAAAATATTACTCAATCTTTCCCCATCATTTATTCCTATGTATAAATGATAATTAGATAACCCGTCATTTAAAAGTATATTTTTTTATCCCTTTTGTAAGTCATTTATTCTCACCATGAATAGCAGGTAAATTAATTATCCATCATTTATAGTCACAATAAATGATAGGCATTTAATTTATCCATCATTTATTCTTTAGAAATTTTGGTACTAAAGTATAAATAATGAGTAAATTAAATAGCTATCATTTATTGATAAGAATAAAGAACAGTTAAGTAAATAATCATCATTTTTTTTGTAAAGAAGATTGTTATTTATAACAGCCTCTGATAACAGCTATAAAAAATAATAACTGAACAACAAATTGAACATTTCTATGTATGAATACCAATTGAATTGGGTTATGATCAAAGAGAAATGATAATTAGGGACCTTGTAAGAACATCAATGAATTACAGACATTAAATTATTGAAATGCTTATAAAAGAGCATAGTCCTTACTTGTAATAAAAATACGTGAATACTTAGTTGGGAATATTGAAATCCTTATAAAAGAGCATAGTCCTTACTTGTAATAAAAAAATGTGAATACTTAATTGCGAAATATGCTAACTACGCTTAGAACTATTTGTAACATCATTTGAAAATTTATAAGTTAGTTGAAAGTATCAATTTTTTGCTGTCAATATACAGATAAACCACTTAAAAAATTAAGTAAATAAATATACTTAAGATTATTTGTAACATTAATTAAAAATTTACAAGATCAGTTGTAAATTGCAAGCTAATTATTTATGCTTTTTTTCTTTCAATATATAGATAAATTATTTGAAAAATTTAGTAAATGTATTTGGGATTATTTGTAACTTCAATTAAAATTTACAAAAGCCTGTTGTGAATTACAAGCCAATTACTTATAATTTTTTGCTATCTTTTGGAAATTTGACAAAAGATAGTTAGAAATCTTTGTATAGTCGGGAATTTATTGAAGTCTGTTGTGAATCTCAAACAAATTAATGAAAGACAATTATTGAAAGTAAGGACCATGGTTTGTTATTAGGATTTCAATAATTTAAGGTATGTAATTATCATTAATATTCTTACAAGGTCGCTAATTGTCATTTTCCCTATAATCAATACAAAATGAAAACAAATATCCTATTATAATCCATCAAGTAATCAATGTATAGAGTTTTTCAAAGTAAACTAATTTACCAACTAATATCAAGTAATAAAAACTAGTAAAACTCTAAATACTAGTTATGCTTCCACCAACAAACCAAATTTAACTATACACAATCCTAACAGCAACAAAATTCACAAAATAGCATTTTCAAAGTAATCAAAAGTAAATTATAATTACTCAAATCAACTCTAATTATCATATAATTTGGCTCACTATTACATTTTAATATATAGCTTTCAACAATAAAATTATCCCAATCAAATAAGACATAAAATTTAAATTATAAAATTATCTCACAAAATTAATTAGAAAACAAAGAAAAAAGAAAAACACCATAAACATCAATTCCAATAATTTTTTTTTTTGGGTCTCATTGATCATTCCAAAGTTACTCATACCCTACATTAGCAATCTCATGTCAAGAAGATATCATTCATTATCAAATGTCAAAATCTTTACAAAATAACTATGATTTTTAAAGAAAATGCAAGTCAATTTTGGTCACTCAAATCAACTTCATTTGTCATGAAATTTAGTATACTAGTACATTTTAATATATAGTTTCTAACAATAAAACTACCCAAATCAAATAAGGGATATACTTTAAATTAAAAATTATTCAAATAATTTGTTCAAAATTCATAAAAAAATAGTCATTATGAATATATATTTTGATTACCCGTTTTTATCCTCATAATCATTCTAAGGCTTTCCATAAGCTCTATTAGCATTTTCAATTTAAGAACACATTAAATATTATCAATTTTTAACAAGACACAACACCAAAATCAAGCAACAATGAATAAAATGTTAAACAAGTAAAATCAATCAATAAAAAATTTAAAAACAATTAATAAATCATTATCATGACCAAGAAAAAAAAGGACATTGAAAAAAAAACGTAGAAAACATAAAAAAAAAATCACCTTGGATGAAAAAAGGTTGAAATGCAATGACAAAATCACGACGATGGTGAATGATGGCGATGGAATCATGATGGAGCAGTGGATGGTGGTTGAGGATGGCAATAATGAAGGGACTTTGTGAGTTCTCTTGTGATTTTGTATGCAAGTGAAGAAGAGATAAGAGGAAGACTATCAGGCACAAATCTAAAAAATGAAAGAAAATCTAATTATTTAAACACAAATAAATAACAAACATTTGAATGCCTGTCTTTTATTTTGCTATGCCCATCACATGTGTGAATGACTTTATATAACAGGCATTTCAAACACTCATCATATAAAGCATATATTTTTTTTAATACTTTAAAATGCTAAAAATTAAAACATTATATAACGGGTGTTTCTAGACCCATCATATAACGTTTTCCCCATAAATGAAACATCTGTCTTGTAAAGTATAATTTTTTTAATATTTTAAAATGCTAGAAATTGAAATGTTCCACACCCGTCATATAACATTATTCCCATAAATGATAGGTGTTAATTTTAATTAAAAGATTTTCCAGAATTTAGAGCTTTACATGACTGGTGTTTATAGACTAGTCATATATTATAATAAAATAAATGATTGATATTTGAAATATCCGTCAGTTATTATTTAAGCATTAACCACCTTCCATTTAAATGATACGTTTTCTTTTAACCATTTTTCTTGGTACCACCCACCTTCCATTTAAATGACACCTTTTAAATTGATAACTGAGACAAATTTAAAAGGTTAAAAGTTTCATGTTTCTTTAATTATATTTCTTTTGCTATACAAACTTTATACAGTCAACTAGGAAATAAATTTTAGCATGAAATTAATATCTAATTATTACCAAAAGATTTTACGAATGGCGTGTCTGACCTAAAGCATGAAAATGACGAAATATATGAACTTGTGAGGGAGAAGGCAAGTTAGACCACCATCTTTGTTTGAAGTTTCATCTTTCATAGTCACCTTTTTCTGTGGAGAATTGAAGCCTACGAGGGGGAAAAGGGATCCCATAAGGATCTGATCAAGACCCCACAAAGAAGTAGTGTTTTTCCCGTGTTGACTAATTTGTCTCTACAAATGATTTTCAAAAAAAAAAAAAACTTAACCTCCAACAAAAAAATTTTCCCAACTTATTTGATAATTAGCGAAAAATTATGGTTTTTAACTTTCTATTATCAAAAAAGGGGAAATTGCTCAAAAGTCCCCATTCAACAAATTAATAGTGTAGAAAATGATGAAATTGCCCTTTAGTTAAAGGAGGATGAAGGTGCTGGTAAACAATGAAGATGTCATGATAGAAAAGACAAGGAAGCAAACAAGGGATGGCGATTGGGTATGATTCCAATTTGTAAAGGGCCAATAATTATGTGTTCCTTGTGATGAGAGTTTCTCCAATTTGTTTTGTTTGTAATTTTTGATGATGACTGATTATAAGATCTAGGTTCTGCTTATCTTTTTCCCCCCACTACAGAGGTTTTGAAAAATGTCGACACTAAGTGGGGTTTTTGGGGTCTTTGGTGATAGGTTCTGTTAAGAATTCTTGCTGACTTGTAATGTTCATATTAGTTTTCCACTTGACACAAATAGAAAAGTTGCCAATGAATGACAATCTTGCCACAAAGAAAACAAATCAAGTGATCATCAAAGGAATCGTATGTATAATAGAAGAGTTTTAAGATGATAGCCACATTAATTAAGATTGTTTTAGGATGATCATCGATTATTTTGGCAGGTGAAGGTTCATGACCATTCCCAAAAAAACTTTAGCCTGCATTTACATAGGCCCTTGGCTCATAATAATGAATTTGAAACCTTCAAAGTTTGGGAGAATGACAAAGAGGTCCGAAAAGAATTAATTAATTAAAGCTAAATTTTAAATGTCAAACTTTAAAAATTTACAACTCAATTTCTCAATTTTGTAATTGCATTGTGATGAATTTGCAGCTTATTTTTTAAATTTTAACATAGTTGAAGAATAAAAAATTATTTTTTTTGTTAAAATTGAGAGTACAAGTTGCAAATTTATCATAATAGAATTGCAAAATTAAGAGATTGAGTTGCAAATTCTTGAAATTTAGCATTTGAGACCTAACTCAAATTAATTGACTCTTTTAGGACCTCTTTGTTATGTTTTCTAAAATTTTCCCCAACTAATGATGAAACTATGGATGAAGAAAAAGAAGTGATGGAGAATAGTAGGAGGGGTTGTGTTAGGAGTTGGATTTTTTCCTTTGCAACAGAAAAAAGAAAAAATCAATATAGATCTAAACTGTTAAATTAGATTTTAAAATTTAAATTTAATAATTTTTAAAAATATAAATTTAATTTAAACGGTTTAGATTTACAGTAAAAAGATCATAAAAAAAAAATAAAGAAGAGAAACTCACCACGTTTTGTTGGCGATGTTGGAGAAGAAGAAAAAGCCGCTTTATGATGAGAAGACAGATTAGAAGAGGAGGCCAGGTGGGTCGATGAAGAAGATATTCGCAGAGGAAGACAACGTTGGATTTTGCTCATTTCCTTCCCATTCACATATACACTTTAAAGGACCTTGGTCCTTTAAAAGATTTCGAGCCCTTGAGTGCAATAAAATTTCTATTAACAGATTTTTCAGCAATTTTCCTAAATCACTCTCCACCTGTTATTTCTACCATTTGATCAAAATATTCTCTCTAGTCTCTCCCTCTTACTCAAGGCCTAAGGTATAGCTGCCAATTTTTTTTTTTTTTTTTTACCGTATAAGATAAGTTCTTTTTTTTTTTTTGGCCAAAAGCATATAAGATAAGCTAAACCTTTGAAGCTTAAGAAAACTTCATGCCATCAGGGGATTAAGGCGCATTGCCTTAAACTTCAAAAAATGTCTATTTATATCCTATTTAAGTAATTATTATTTCTCTCATTAAGCATTAACATTAATTATATATTTTTGCTAAAAATTTAAAGCTTTGAATGAGGATGAATTGAACATTTTTTGTATTAATCTTTAAAAATTCTTAAAATTTTAATGATAATTCTAATATTGATGATCTTAATTTATTTTTAGAAATGTTAACAAAAGAAACTAATACTCCAATTAAATGCTGAACTATATTAAAAGATAATACTATTTTCCAAATATATAATTACTTATAGAATATTATTGACAATAACAACACTTTTGTAAGGCCTTTACGTTCAACATTTTTGCCAGTAAAGCTGAATAAAATTTTTAAATTTTAATTAATAAATTAAATATATAATATTTAACCTCACACGCGCAAATACACACGCATGCATATCAATAAATATATTATTTATTTAACATTGTTTTTAGTTATCAATATGATAAATTACTTTTTTATATAATAATTATTTCTATTCTATTATATTTTTAAAAAATTGTTTGTGATAGGAAATTTAATATTAAATTGAGAAAATATTTTATTATTATTATTATATATTGTTTTATAATTTTTATAATATATAATATTTTATATTTTAAAATTATTTCTTGAAAACTATTTTTTGTTATATAACAATAATTATGTATGGTATCAAAACAACAACAATAGTCAAGTATACAATTTAAATTATTATTAATATTTAAATAATTTAAAATAATAAATTATAATTATTAAATTATTTATTTATAGCATAATAATAAATTATATATAAATATATGTTATGAAACATATAATAAAATTAAAAATAATTTGTGACCAAATTATCAATGGGATTATGACGGAAAGGATTTTCTAATGAAGTCCTTGCTTTTCGGTTAAAAAAGACCCTCCTTTTCTTTTATCTTATCTTTGCTTTTTTTTTTTTCCATAATAGAAAAATATTTTTTTAAAAAAATCTCAAATATATATATATATATTTTTAAAAAAGAGCCTGTATTTGAAAAGGAATTTGAGCAAAGAAAAAAGTTTATTAACTTGTATATAATATTAGGCATTAGCCATTATATAATGATCAAAGTCACTCAAGTGCTTAGAAAGTAATTTCATCTCTCTCACTCATATTGCTATTTGTTGATGTTCAAAATTGACCTCATAGAAATCATATACATATTACACTGATAGTCGACTTCCACTGCTTCAATTGTTTTGCTTGTGCAGCATGCAAACTGTGCACAACATATATCATATTTGGAGCTTTGAGATAACCCGGAGCTACTGGAAGTATGGCAGTGTGTTGTGCCAGTCCCAGATAGAGGCTTCTGTAACTTGACGAATCTAACAGTGGATGGTTGCCAATCTTTGATTCATGCGATTCCCTCTCATTTGGTCCCCTTCTGGTTAACAGTAATGGATTGCAACGCTGTCGAGGCAATATTTGATGTGGGTCCCATGTCCACGCGTTTCTCCTTTGCACTGGAAAGATTGGCGTTGGACCAATTGCCCAATCTGGAACATGTTTGGAACGAGGATCCTAAGGAAATTCTCAGCTTCCAATGTTTGCAGAAAGTGTATATTGAGGGGTGCAGTAGCCTTAAAAGCTTGTTTCCAGCATCAATGGCCCAAGGCAAACTTGAAAGCCTCGGAGAACTAGAAGTTAAAAATTGTGAACAACTAGTAGAAATTGTTGCCGGGTACGAAACAATCTCAGGAGGAGCAACTTGAGACTTAATTATCTTTGCTGGCTTAACGATGCTGAAGCTTACTATTTACTTTAAATGATAATTTCAGGAAATCATCATTTACAAGACAAGCTTATTTTGGTTTTGCTCCTCAGTCACACGCTGCTTTAAAGTAAGTAGTAAGTGATACTGGCTACAGTAGTGTTGATTAGAAATGAAATAACAGTTCAAAATAAAATTTCTAACTAGTATGTGTATTATTATTCTTTGAAATTATGTAGGTTGAGGGAGATTGGAACCGTCCATGTGGTTTTCCTTGGGTTGATGATGTAGAAATTGAAGACTAAGTTTGTGTGTGGTGTCTTATTTGCCGATTGTAAGTTGTAAAATATTCAGATAATAAAAACTTCATTGAATTCCAATTTGAGGCGGCGACCTATATATTTGAATCAGAAGGAATTTTGGACAAATTGTTTGAGTGACTTTGATTTGGAAATGAACACTTGTCAGAGAATGCGTGCGCTTTTTAAGATTTTTGTATGAGAGTTCATGGATGACTTCTTCTCTTAATCACTACACTGGTCATGCATCATTTGCTTTGCACACCAATGAGCGTGAGTCTTGTGATATTTTTCTGGGTTTAGCTCTGTTTTTAGTTTCAAAGAACAGAGGCAAACAGGGTATTAGTTGAAAGAGAGATCCAACATAGTCTCGATTATCCAAACAAGTAGATGCATTATTAAACTGGTTGATTTATCAGGGCTAATACAATCATTTTTTTTATGTGATACTTCTCCTAGTTTGCTACATTGTGGAAGACTAGGTTTTTTCTACTCGATATAACTAACACAATAATGTTAGTTGAAAACTTGTTAATAGTGTTTTGGGTTCATTATAAAAACCATTCCATCTTGTTTCAAATATGACCAATCTAAATTATTTGAAATTTTCATTCAACAATAGTACCTTGCATCGCTCAACATTCAGTTAAAATTCAAAGTTATAAAATGATCAAATCAAAACCCATGTTAGAAATATCAATTTAATAATATATAATTCATATGTCAAATGCATCAAATTCATAAAAATTAATCCATTAATATTAATGATATTATTAATTGCACATTCAGATATTAACCATTTTTGAGTAAGAGACAGAGCTTTTCTCAATTTTATTGCAACCTGTGAACCATTTTTGAGTAAGAGACAGAGCTTTTCTCAATTTTATTGCAACATGTGAATATGACTCGTTGTTCTTTCAAAAAATAACAATAAAATTCTTACAAATAATAATCTGATTCCTTAAAATGTTATAATTTCACTGAAGTTTTTGAGAACTTCTTTGTCAATAAATTTTAAATTGAAAAGATCATGTTATCTTTATTGATAAGTTGTGATTTCTTATTCAATTCTTGTGATTATTTGAATAAAAGTTGTGATTCTTTAAACAAAAATTGTGAATAAGGTTTGTTATTTTGAGAATTTATTTTTGAATAATAAAAATTACATTTGATAAATTATTATTTTTTCTACAATTCTTGCAATTCACATAACAAAAGTGTTATTTCTTAAGTTATGATTTCTTATTTAACTTTTACTAATTGCAGAACAAAAATTGTGAATGGGACTTATTATTTTCAGTAAGGGTAAAATAATCTTTTTACTTTAAAATTTATTAACAAAGAGGCCTTTAGGGACTTCATTGAAATTATACATCTCAAGAGAACAAACTGTTATTTATATAATTTAGAAAGATTTTATTGTCATTTTTTTATTTTTTTTTCCCACAAAAAAAAAAAAGATCCTTGGGCCTGACTAAGTAACCCATGAATGCAATGTAGCTATTTATCGAAGAAGCTGTTGATGTTTCCATTTCTTTTATGGAAATCCATTGTTGGAAATTTGGGGGAAGCAGAGTCTAGTAGTTCTATTTATAGCTTACAAAATAAAATGGAATAAGAAAGGGGATGAATTATGAAATAAAATGAATTTATTAGATGTAAAATATCATGTATCTCTAGATAAAAATTTATCATCATGAAAAAAAAAAGCTGATTGACGTCGAGAAATGATTATAATTAGGTTATAATAAATATTGCAAGCCCCGATTTTCCGGTAATGAAATTGGACTCCTTTAATTTTCTAGAGTTACTGTCAAATGGAGCCAAATAAATTGAAGATTTAGGGATCTTGACCTCATTGTTTTCATCTCAAAGTAGTTTGGGGTTTGTTGTTTCATCAATGAAAGGCGTTCAATTTTCTTCTTCTTGATTAAATTGTTAACAAATCTTAATTTGAATGCTGGGTTGACGAAATTTAAACCGATTATGTTTCTTTTGCTATACAAAATTTACACAGTCGAATATGAATGGCTTGTCTCATTGCTAAAGCATGAAATTAAATGATGAAATATATGAACTTGTGAAGTTTGGCTTTTAAGCGTTTTGCCAACAAACTAGTACATACTTTTTAAAAGAGAAATACATTTTCATTATTTCGAGTAGTTATAGGTACTTGATGTTTGCATAATTATATTAGAATGAATAATGGATAATGATGATTTAAACTATCCAAAAGGAAGTGGGAAGGCATCGACCAATTGTAAAGATAATGATATAAAGATCTTTAGTGGAAATCTACGTTCTCCCAACATCTTCAAATAAAATAAATTTAATTGCCCAGAAGTCATTATTATGGGTTCAGTCTCAACAAATTTAATTGCAGTGCCATTACCGTTAATATTGCAGTAGTGGCAGAATTTTGTGGCATGATGTAAGCAACAGTTGTGATGCTTCCAACTTCACCAAACTTCAGAAAGCAAAATTCAGAGGATTAAAATCCAAAATCAAGGGACCCATAAGGGTTTGATTAAGACCCCACAAAGAAGTTGTGTTTTTCCCTTGTTGACTAATTTGTTTCTACAAATGATAACAAAAAAAAAATACTTAGCTTCTGGCAAAAAATTTTCCCAATTTATTTTGTTAGTATACAAGTTTATTGATTTATCACTGTGGTGGGAGTTTTTTTTTTAATGTGGCCAAATATGGCAAACAAAAACCGAACACGCACATAGTTATTTCTAAAAAAAATTGTGACATCAGTCATCCAGTTCGGTACCTTGTAGGCCTAAATGCTGACATTAGCTGTCTAGTCCAACTTTAGCAGTATTGGACCTTGGATGACATCATCCGTCTAGCCATCTGTGTAGAAAATCAAATGCCCAAGAGATTATCTTCCCAGCCTTCTTCCTCTGGGGTTATTTAGATGCCTGCAAGGCAGAGTTTCAGCAATCTAGCCTCTCAAACAAGCTACAATCTAGTGCTTTATGCAAACCACCACCAAATGTTGCTAAGGAATCTGGCTTTAAAGCACCTAAATGCTTTAAATGCCAAGGATTTGGCCATATTATTGTGAATTGTCCTACCTGGGGAGTCGTCACCATTAGGGAAGGGCAAGTGTATGAAGCACCTAAAAAAGATGAGGAGGAGACTTAAGTTGTATAGAACTGATTTATTATATAATGAAGAGGTTATGCCTACATATTAGGGCGAAGCATTAATGATTAGACAAAATCTACATACAACTATAGTTAAGGAAGAATCATGGCTATGATGCAACATTTTTTACACTCATTGCACAGTCCAAGGAAATGTAAGGTATGACTAAATAATGGTGGAGAAATTGAATTTGTTAACGCACGACCATCCACATCGTTACAAGCTTCACTAACTTAATAAGGGGATGAGGTAAAATTTTATAAACAATGCCTCATTACATTGGGAACAAGTATTGTGATGAGGTTTTGTGCGATGTTGTTCTTATAGATGCGTGCCACCTTCTTTTGGGGAGACCATGGCAATATGATTGACATACTATGCATAATGTCCGTGCAACACCTATTCTTTCATGAAGGATGGTGTCAAGTTCACATTAGCGCCTCTACTACCCAGTAAGATTAGCCAATCTTCGAGGGAATCTAAGCCATTAGGGACTTTGATTATCAAAGAGGAGTTCAAGGTGACAAAATTCAAAGTCCAAATGATAAGTCTCATTCTAGTGCTTGAGGTAAACGATGAGTCTACCAATCCGCCGGAGTCATGCCTTTATTGTCTGAATTTCTATATGTGATATCTAATGAGATACCACCAAGGTTGCCACCCATGAGAGACATATAGTATGCCATTGACTTTGTTTTAAGAGTAGTCATTCCTAATAAGCTTGCTTACAAGATGAGTCCTCAGGAACATGTCAAAGTCCAATGGTAAGTTGAATAGCTATTGAAAAAAAGGTTGGTTTGAGAAAGTGTCAGCCCTTATACTGTACCTATTCTTCTAGTACTTAAGAAGGTTAGGAGTTGGAGAATGTGCATTTATCACCAAGCTATAAACAAGATCACTATCAAGTATTAGTTTTTAATACCCTAGCTTGATGATATATTATACCAATTGCATGATGCCACTACCTTTTTCAAAATGGACCTTGGTCGTGGATACCACCAAATTAGAATTTGGCCAGGAGATGAGTAGAAGATTGCTTTCAAGACCAGAGATGGCTTGTATGAGTGGAATGTGATGTCTTTTGGGTTGACAAATGCCCCTAGCAGATTTATGTGCCTGATGAATCAGGTATTGAGACCCTTTATTGGAAAATTTGTTGTTGTTTACTTTGATAACATTCTTATTTACAGTAAGAGTCAGGAAAACACTTAGAGCACTTAAGGCAAGCCTTACAAGCCTTGTGAGAATAGAAGCTTTATGCTAATCTTAGGAAGTACACTTTTCTCACCAATGAAGTTGTGTTCTTAGGTTACATCATTACTACAAAGGGTGTTTGAGTTGAACCAAGCAAAGTTATAGCCATTGATAGCTGATCAATTTCAAGATCTATTCAGAAAGTTCAAAGCTTCTACGTATTAGTTTCTTCCTACAAGAGGTTCATCCGTAATTTTAGCTTTATTATTACACCACTTACAGATGGCACCAAAGGACATAAATTTTAGTGGATAGAGCCAGCTCAGAAAAGTTTGAGGAGCTTAAGGAGAAGTTGATCAAAGCTCCTGTCTTAGCCCTTCCTAATTTTGACCAAGTGTTTGAAGTTAGTTGTGATGCTTTCAACACCAACATTGGTGCCATCTTAAGCCAGGAGGGCCATCCCATTATCTTTTTTAGTGAGAAGCTCAATGATGCTAAGTTTAGGTATTCTACCTATGACAAAGAACTTTATGTCATTGTTCGAGCTCTCTAACATTAGAGTCACTATCTCCTAAATAAAAAGTTTATACTCTTTTCTGATCATGAGGCTCTAAAGCATTTGAATTCTCAGTAGAAGATTAGTCGCAAGCATGCCTGTTGGAGTAAACTCTTATAGTCTTA